TACACACCTGCTTCCATAACTGGGATCTCAGATGGCTTCAGACAGTTAGTCTGTGCTGCTAAGCTCAATCAAGGGTAGTGCATGTAGCCCTGGGGGGCAGGGGACTGAGGGGGAATTGCCCTTCTGAGGTTGAGTAGAGATAAACCCCATAAGAGAAAACCAACCCCCCAAGCTTTGGTATCCGCTTTTGCAAGGGAGTCAAAGAAACAAATGCACTATTTGAAAGATGCAGCTAGAAACAGACAAGGACACAACACATGTTCCCTGAACACACCCCATGGATTGAACCTGATCTCAGAGCCTCCAGGATAAATTGCATCAGCTTTATGAGTGTCTATAGAGGCAGAACTGAGAGCTGTTTTCTATGAGGAAAAAAACAATTCAATGCTCCCGGTTTGAAAGATTTCAAAGATTTTTGGCCAAAGCTCCCAAGTCAGTCTGATCTCTAGATCTGGAACGCCGAACACTGGCCACATGAAGAAAATTTGAATCTCCTCGTCACATTGGCTCTAAGATTTAAAGGAACCTAAAGGATTTAGGCACCAACTGGTTTAGAATGTGAAAAACAGTGTGTTGGAATCACTCCACATGCTCTCTCATACTCACACACAAACACACACACACTCACCTTCCAACACATACTTGTGGTGCTCTTGTAACTCCCAGAAAGACCCATACTTGCTTTGTAATTTGACTCTTCCAAAATGTTCTTATAACCTGTCCGTGCAATTCCTCATTTTGTTCCTATCTCATATGTCAGTTTAATTTGAATAATGAGTTCTCCAATGCCTGACATGTCTTATTAACCCTATGGCAAAGTTTTAAAATATGCATAATGCTTGGGGGTGAGGGTTCCTCCCAGTTGTGCAGAGATGTACGTTACCTTGATAATACTGCACAGAATGAAATTCATTCTGCACTTGGATTTAGAAAAACTCAGAGACATCGGTGTGAGAGACAGGACTGTGCATGTGGGATGGGAAAGGCAGAGGCATGTTGCTGTCTTGTGAACACACCTGTGCTCTGTTGCTGGGCATGGGAGACATAGATCCCGCTTGCACTGTGCCGAGCTGCAGACAACACTCCACTGGTGCACGTCCTACTCACACACAAACACACCTTCCAACAAATACTTGTGGTGCTCTTGTAAGTCCCGTGCTTTGTAATTTGACTCTTCCAGTGTTCTTATGACTGGTCTGTGCAATTTCTCATTTTGTTTCTCTCTCGTACGTCTGTTTAATTCCTTGAATAATGAGTTCTTCAATGCCTGATATGGACCAATTAACCCTATGGCAAAGTTTTAAAATATGAATAATACCTCGCGGTGAGGGTTCCTCCCAGTTGTGCAGATGTACGTTACTTTGATATTACTGCACAGAACGGAATTCATTCTGCACTTGGATTTAGAAAAACACAGTGATATCGATGAGAGGGACAGGGATGTGCATGTGGGATGGGAAAGGCAAAGACGGGTTGCTGTCTCGTGAACACACCTGCGCTCTGTTGCTGGACATTCTAGGAGTGGGGATGGGAGACACAGATCCCAGCACAGGTCAGATGTGGAGAAAGTAACTGTTGTTTCCTCCCTGCAAAGATAGTTGTTGTCTTCCCCTGTAAATGACTTGACCCTAAAAGATGGCACTCAGGGTACTTTTAGACTACAGGGTTTTGTCAACAGAGACTTGTTGACAAAGCCTCTGTTGACAAAGAGCGTCTAGACTACAGCCAGTTCTGTCGACAAAGAAAGCCGCTTTTTTGACAGTCTAGACACTCTCTTTTGAAAAAGCACAGTGTGGATGAACTAGTGCCTTTTTTCTACCTAAATCTGTTGAAAAAAGGTGTTATTCCTCGTAGAATTAGGTTTACTGCCATCAACAAAACTGCTGCGTTCTGTAGACTTACTGTCGACAGAATTCAGCAACAGTGTAGACGCAGGAATAGTTTTGTCCACAAAAGTCCACTTTATTGACCAAACCCTGTAGTCTAGACAGACCATCAGTGACTGAGCATCTTTCCCTGATCTACCAAGGACTCAAGAATATCAACACAAGATGTTGTGCAGTACAAAACGGTTTGTCCATTATTACCTATTATCAGCATAACAACGTGGACAACAGGGGACTTGCTAAGGATGGGAAGTTGACTGGCAGGGAAGTACGGCTCTGTTGCTGTGTACAAGAAAGCGCAACAAACACCAGGCTCTCTTTCATTATGCTGCAACCAAGACATTGTTACCTGGAGGGTGATGAATTGTAAAGGAAATCGCTGCGCCCAGCTGGTTCCTTGTAAACTATAGTTAGAGCTCACATGACCAATGTCAGTCACATCGTTTGCTGTAACCCAGCAACAATACGGCGCAAGAAGAAGGGAAAAAGTGACGGGATGAATCGTGCCTCTTCTGTTCATCCTCTCCGAACCACATGATGTCAGCCAGTGCCGGGAGACAGGGGACTGGGGCAGATGGACCTTTGGACAAGCCCAGTCTGGCTGTTCTCATGTTCAAAATCTGAGAGCCGCCCATTGCTCTGTGTAATGGGGTGAGGCAACCCCACCACTATCCCCAGCAAGTGGGTCAGGTCAGTGCCAGGATGTGCGAGTGGCTGACTCGGGCGGTGGGGGAACCGGTGCCACCAGACACTCATGGGGAGGGAGTGAGCCAGCATGGCATGGAAACGCAGCAGCCAGGGGAGAGGGAGAACATCCATGGCAGGCGGCGTGGTATGATGTCACCCGCTGAGCAGGAGAGCGGGGAGAGGATAAAAACGGAAGAGGGAACACAGGTAGAAAAGAAAACGGTGGGGAACGAAGAAAGGTATGGGGGCCAGAACTCACGGAGGGATGAGAGGGGAGGATAACCCCGACAGGGGTTCCGGTGGCAGGGTTGACAGAGGCCCAGGGTAGGGGCGTAGAGCCCGAGAGTGGGCACGTGTAGGGGTAAATCCCCGCCTGCTACCACTGGGAATGAGATTCCCAGTGTTAGGGCCCTTGGCTGGGATCTGGGAGCGTGGGTGGGCTCGGACCCCCTTCCCTGCCACCGGCAGTCGAACAGCATACCACACCCTGAGATAGCAGTTTGGCCCTACTATGGCCCCGTGACTGGGGGGAAAGTGGGTAGTAAGGGTAACCCGAGATAATCAGGATGTGATAGATGTGTAAAATAACAGGATGCAGAACCCGAATAAATGTAGATTCATGACACTCTGTCCTAGGCAGGTTTTCCTACAGCTCCTCCACACTGTGTTGGCCCCCACCTGGAATTGGGGATCCACTGAGCCACCAGCCTGGGATCCCACTCGCACTGTGCTGCTCTGGCCAGCTGCAGACAAGGTCCCATCCCTGCACTTCCCCCCACACCCACACAGCAGGCACAACCCATCTGCGGGGCTCCCTGACAGGACGCTGTGGAGGGAAGCTACAGTCAAGGTAGCCAGTGGCAGCCCAGAATACGACCCCAGGGCTGCACCACCTGAGCCAGGTCAAATCACCAAGAGATTTGTTGTTCTGTTTGCACCCCAGAACGTGGAGAGGAAAATGCCCACGTGTGCTAACCAAAGGGAGAATTTTCTCCCAACACATTTTGGTTAGAGGCTCACTGGTTTTGGTAAAACTACACACAAGTTAATTAACAACAAACTGTCGATCGATGTGGATTTCAGGGACAAAAAAGCAGGATATCAGCAACTAACCAAACACAAACGCTGCAGAACACACGGGGCAGAGTCAGGAGGAACGAGCAGATTCTCCCCTGGAGGGATGGGACGGACCGTCTGGCATGTTCCCAAGCCACAAGTTGCATTTGCTTTGTAGCTTGGGGTTCTTGGGATTCCAGACACTGGGTAAGACGCCTTCAGCCTGGGTCCAACCCTTCCCCCAGGTCAGTCTGTCTTCCTCAGCTCTTTCCCAGTGTCCTCTTGTGTGGGGAGTGAAAACAGCTGATTTCACCCCCTGCCTTATATAGCTCCGTCAAAGGGAGGGTCCTTTGTTTCAAAATTCCTCCCCGGACCAGGCTGTGAAAAAACAATATGGGAGGAGGGACCCAGAGTTTGTGGTCTGATCCTCTGACCTCGTAGAATCACAACAACCATTAATTGGTCTCTCTGAAACAGTCTCAGGAAGGCTCCGTCTGTGGGATTTGGGCTTCTCCTGAGGCCTGTTGTTCTCCCTAATGTCTCAAGACAGGGATCTGTCTGCACTGAAAGCCCCTTCCCCAGTGGGGTACCGCTGTGTAAATACATTGGGAATAAAGATACACGCTCTGTATTCATAATCTAAGCTACAAAAAGGAGGCAGGATTACAAAAGGGACAATCAAATTCAGCAAGTCCAAATATTTATGATGCCATAAATGCACTGTCTTGCCGAAAATGCTTCATATTCCTGCTATAACTGTATCAGAGTAATGGGTAGGGATGTTGCATGAGTAACCAGTCAGGGTACCCTTACCGATTAGCCTGCCCTTGTCTGTGAACTCCAGAGCTGATTGGCCAGGCCAGACCAGAGCGTCCCTCACATGGAGGGAGTGGCCTGTCGGTCATTGGGGGCTTATGGCCCCAGTGGGAGTGGGCTGGGATGGACTGGTTCACTGATCTGTGTTACCTCATAACCCAACCGTCAAATGCATTTAGGAGGAAAGGTGACATGGGGTTAGCTGAGTCCTGAAGGCTTCTAAACCCCAGGCTACGGGAGGGAATTTTTCTCCTATGGTCGATAGACAAGACACGTGGGGGTGGATTCCAAAACTGACTAAAGGTAATTCTCAGTGGCACAATGTATGGCTGATATGAAAGAGAAAAGCTAAGACAGTAGGGGTATGTCTACACTACCCTCCTATTTCAAAATAGGAGGGTAGTGTAGACATACCCTAGGAGAACAACAGGCAGAAGGAAGAAATCACATAAGAGACAATGAGAAGTAAGGTAATTGGTCAATTAATCAAATGGGCCAGGTATAAAAGAACACATCAGTCCATCTCTATTTTACTGTACACCAATATTTGTCCCGTCATACTCCATGCCTGTGTCTGAAATCAACCAGTTTCATACCAGCTTTTCTCAGGGACTGATGGACCTCCTTGTTTCTCAGGCAGTAGATGATAGGGTTGATCAAAGGTATCAGGACTGTGATCAAGACAGACCATATTTTGTACAGGATTGCGGGAGGGTCAAACACTGGAATTACATAGACTGTCATTACACTCACATAGTAAGCTGCAACCAGAATGAGGTGGGAGGAGCAGGTGGAAAAGGTCTTTTGCCTCCCGGTGCTGGAAGGGATTCTCAGGATGGTGGCGATGATACAAATGTAGGTTACTAGGGTAATCAGAAAGACCCCAACAGTCAATATGACAGACAGGAAAAACAATAGCAATTTCAGAGTCTGTGACTCACCACAGAACCGACCATCGGATCCAAAATCACAAAAGAAATGGTCAAATACTTCAGAACCACAGTATGTTAATTGCATCATCAAAATTTGTATCAAGATGCTGCAGGAAATGCCGAATATCCAGCACCCTGCCACCATGTGGCCACACACCCTGCCACTCATCAGAGCAGGGTAACAGAGCAGGTGGCAGATCGCTAAATACCGATCAATACACATGGCCGTTAGCAGCAGACCTTCTGCATTGGACAGGATAATATAGAAGTGAAATTGCACAATGCAGTTCAGAAGAGAAATGGTTCTGTCCCCAGTCACCAGACTGCAAATCAGTCTGGGCAGGGTGGTGCTGACGGAGCAGATCTCCACAGCGGACAAGTTGTCCACAAAGTAGTACATGGGGGTTTGAAGTTGCCGATCAGCCACCACCAGCACAATGATGAGGAGGTTCCCAGCCACAGCCACAAGGTAGATGACTAGAAACAGCAGGAAGAGGAGGGGCTGCAGTACAGGGCCGTTCCCAAACCCAAGAAGGATCAGTTCCTTGAAGAACGTTCCATTTCCTCCTTCTGCTTTCTCCATAATTCATATCTAGAAACTGAAACACATCAGCTATTCAGGCTGTGCTGTTGCCTACCTGGCCAGAAACCTGGAACCCCTGGGTCTCTGCCTTTCAAAAATGAAATTGTCCATAACCAGAAGAAGACTCATTTCTTTTAGAGAAGGAGCCTCCAGAAGAGGGGATCCAAGAGCAGGGCACCTCGCTGAGATACAGGAACCTCCCCCCAAACTACTTTCAGGCTGGGATTTTGAAATATCTTCATCATGTCACTGTCATTTCAGCTAGTGCTGAGGACACAACAAAAGTCAGTGGATTGTAACGGAAGGTATTTAAAGTTCAAACCGGGGGGTGTCTGCCCTGCACCTGGGCGGTGTCATTCCCAGCTGGGTAACATCCTCTAGCTTTCATCAATTAGCAACATAAAATTAGCAGTGAGAACCCGGCAGCGCGAGCAGTGGATTGGGACACACCCTGGGTGCATACCTGGGGTCTCAGGTGGGTTTGGGTGGGGGAGTTAGTCTGTGCTGCTGAGGCTACACTGCTACTGTTAGCACCAGAGCTCAG